CAGTTCTACTCTATCCTGTAGGGTCACTATGAGTAAAATCGACTCCATGACAATGGATACATTATGGGTATATACATGTACAATATTATTATTTCTTATCCCAGTTTCTACCTCATTCTAGAAAGGATTTGAGGCAACTTTCTCTGATTGGTCCTTACTTAATTTAGACCCTCCACTTCTCCATTAGTTTGGCTCACACTAAAGTTAAGCTCAGTCGGATTTCAACGACTTTGTACCGCTTCGCTCATTAAAATAGTACCCTGCCTTCTCTCCAACAATGCCAATCCTCTATACCCTTTAACGTCCTTCTATCTCCACCATTATAAAGCTTCTTTACACTCCGATCTACAGGCTGACTGTGAATTCCTGTGCTGCACACCTCGCCTTGCTGGAGCCCTCCGTTTCAGTTATCTATGCCGCGTGCAGCTTTCGTAAGTTTCACTGAGGGCACTGGGCTATTTATCGTGGATCTTTTTTCCAGAAGTGACTCATATGATACACCCCACATGAAAAGCACACTTCTCTTGGCACAATCAAATTATGTGTGATTAGCAGAGAAATAGCTGTATTCCACCTTGTCCTTTCCTCTCTTTAATGACCAACTTTCAGAGAAAGAAGTCAGTTTCATATTCGTCTTCATTGGTATCAAGTGAGCTTTACTTGTGTCTTGTTTTGGTTTTCATTTTATTGAGTGTGGTTATGGACGCATTGGTTTTTATACTTGTGATGCATTCTAGGTGTTGCCTGATTAGGGTCCGTGCCCTGGAGCAGTCGAGCCGATGAAACGCCCTCCAAGTCAGAAAAAGTGAGAGAGTTTATCTAGGAGGTGGCCACCAATGGGGATCCGACAGCACTGCAGGCTGTCTCTATGGAGTTCCAAAAGGCATTTTTACATTAGAGCTTATATATGATTTTTACAAAGGTTAGAAGTGTCTTTGCAGCCCGTAGATGGCATGGCTGGATGGGTTATTCATTACAAGGTAATTACAAGAGTCTCTTTATCAGACTAAGAGGATATATGCTGGACATCTCCTTATCGGGTTTAAGATATACAGTCAGACATTTGGGCTTTAATCTTCCTGTGGGGGGTTGTAAGCCACAGGTGGCTGGACAGAGCAAAACAAAGTCATTAACAAAGGTATGCGGAAAGGACAAGGCAGAGAGAAAAGAAAAACTTACAGGTTCATCATGGCGTTAGTTATGTCAAGCTCTCAGTCGCCCATTTTGAAAAGGAGAAAATACACTGGGGAGTATTAGGGTCACATAGGCAATGATCACTACGCTAATGTTTGATGTTCACGCTGTCCTTCTTTGATCAAGAGTAATTGCTTTAGGCTGGCTCCTTCTCCTCCTGAGACTTCCCTCCCTGTCTTTGCGTTTCTGAGGCAAGATGTTCCAGCTCACGTTGTACATTCCCTGCCCTAGACCTTGACCCAGCCAAATCCCAAGGATCCCTGGTTCTTTAGAGTGAGAAACAGTATTTAGAAACCCAAACTCCCTACTCTGAAAACTGGGAAGGGAAGAAAATTAAACTTTCATCTTGCTTTTCCAGTATAAACTGTATTTGAGGGTAACTGGGTATCCCTTGGAACCTCTGGTGGCGAAGTGGTTAAGAGTTTGGCTGCTAACCAAATGGTGGGCAGTTGGAATCCACCAGGCGCTCTTTGGAAACCCTATGGGGCAGTTCTACTCCGTCCTACAGGGTCGCTATGAGTCTGAATCAACTCAACGGCAGCGTTTTTGTTTTTTTTTTTTGGCGGGGGGTAGCCCTTGAAGATGAAGGAAAGCTTTTCTTTACTGAAGAATTCCAGATGGTATTTGTAGAAGAAATCATAGAACTAGAAAATTACCATTTTGCAAGGGTAAAACCAACCAACCAACCAACCGCCATCGAGTCAATTCCAACTTATGACGACCCCATGTGTGTCAGAGAAGAGCTGAGCTCCATAGGGTTTTTAATGGCTATGATCTTTTGGAAGCAGAACGCCAGGCTTTTCTTAAGAGGTGCCTCTGGGCGGGTTTGAACCACCAACCTTTCAGTTAGTAGCCCAGCGCTTAACTGTTTGCATCACCCAGGGACTCTGTAAGGGCACAAAACAACTTTGTAATGGAGGAAGCAAGCTGTCACCACCTTAAACCAGGGATAAGTTGCGGTGTCACTAATAGCAGGACAACCTGACATGTTATATGCACTCATATTGGAGTCACGAATAAAAATGTCCTTACATTACAGCTATTTTTAACAGCTTTTTTGAGATATAATTCATATACAATTCATCCATTTAAAATGTATAATTCAGTGGTTTTAGTATATTCATAAGGTTATGCAACCATCACCACAGTCAATTTTAGAGAATATTCATCACCCCAAAAAGAAATCCTGCACCCCTTAGCTGTCACCCCACCCCCCAAAACCTTCCATCCTCCCCCAGGCCTAGGCAATCACTAATCTGTCTTCTGTCTCTATGGATTTACCTATTTTGGCCATTTCATGTAAATGGAATCCCACATACTTTTTATGACTGAATAATTTTGCATTGCATGGATATACCACATTTTATCCACTCATCACTTGATGGACATTTGGGTGGTTTTCACTTTTGACTATTATGCACAATGCTGCTGTGAACATTCTCGTACAGGTTTTTATGTGGGCGCATATTTTGATTTCTCCCGGGTATATACCTAGGAGTGGAATTGCTGGGTCATATGGTAACTCTGTTTAACCTTTTGAGGACCTGCCAGACTGTTTTCCAAGCAGCTGCACCATTTTACATTCCCACCAGCAATGTATGAGGGTTCCGATCTTTATTTCTCTTCCACAACACTTGTTATTATCTTTTTGACTATAGCCATCCTAGTGTGAAGTGGCACCTCGTTGTGGTTTTGATTTGCAACCTAATGACTACTGACTGTGAGCATCTTTTCATGTGTTTATTGGCCATTTGCATCTCTTCTTTGGAGAAATGTCTATTCAGATTCTTTGCCCATTTTTAAATTGGGTTGTCTTTTTTATTTTGAGTTGTAAGAGTTCTTTATATATTCTAGATACAAGTCCCTTATCAGATATATGATTTGAAAATATCTTCTCCAATTCTGTGGGTTGTCTTTTTCACTATCTTGATGGTATCCTTTGAAGCAGAAGAGTTTGTTTGTTTTGGCTTTAAAGAACAGAAATTTATTTTCTCATAATTCTGGAGGCTGAAAGTCCAAATGAAGCAAAAAGTTTTTCATTTCGATGATGGCCAGCTTATCCATGTGATCTCAGATCCCAGATATATTGTAAAATATTTATTAATTCAAGTTAAAATATTAATGCAGGAAATCAAAATGATGAGATATTTCCACTGTCGACTTCTGTCTTCATTGACTTATGGATAGGGGTGGAATGGGAAAACGCTACTTTGAGTTTATTGACAGTTTCACATCTTGTATTCCCCACAGCATTTAGGCTACTTCTTTGTCTATAGTAAGAGTTCTATTTGCTGAATGAACTTATTCCCAACTATCTCAGGGCTGCTTGGTGCAAATGGGTAATGCGCTTGGCTGCTAACCAAGAGGTTGGAGGTTCCAGTCCACTCAGAGGTGCCTCAAAAGAAAGGCCTGGCAATCTACTTCTGAAAAATCAGCCATTAAAAGCCCTCTGGAGCACAGTTCCACTCTGATACAAATGGGGTCGCCATGAGTCAGAGAAGACTCGACACCTCTGGTTTGATTTTTGGTTAATGTAACAAGAGGGAAAAAATTCAACAATGTTTTTATTGACAAATCCAAAATATGATAACAATAATAATAATTGAGTACATATAAAAATAAACATCTAAAGAGAAGAAACTCTTTCTTGGAAGGATAACATTTCTCTTAATTGGGGTTCAAAGGCAGTGTATCCTATCATCACATCCATTGCAAATGTTCATCTAAAACCATTCTTCGCTCCCGGGTCCAAAAACCACGATTGGCCCCCGTGCAGTAGTTTGCGACCCTTGCAACACCAGTAGCCTGCACTAGGTTTGGGGTGCTCAGGGTTGGGAGTCTCTTCTGACTGCAAGGCAGCTCCATTGCCCGTTCCCCTACCTCTGCGCCCATTTTGCCCTCCCTGGTGAGGCAGGTCAGAAAGGTCAAGATTGGGGTCAGGAGGGTGCTCCACCCCCCCACCTCAGTTGCTTCTGAAGCACCCCCCCCATGCCACAAGCAAGGGTACCCGTGTGCTTCAGGACCACCCAGGGTCTCACAACCTCCTGCCCTTTGTGTTCTGGCACCTCCTCCTCTCCTCCCTCTCCACTCTCAGCTCCTCTTCTCTCCCATCCTCCAGCTTCTCCTCCCCGTTCAGCTCTTCCATCCCTTCCAGCCCCCCACGCTCCTCTCCCTCTCCTCTTTCCCCTCTTTGCTCTCCGCTCTCCTCCTCGCAGTCTTCCCTGTCGCTTTCTCATCCTCCTTCCCCTCCAGCTCCTCCCCGAGCTCCTCGCAGTCCAACGTGCTTTCTAACTCCTCCCTCTCCTCCAGTTCCTCCCCCAGCTCCTCGCGGTCCAACGTGCTTTCTCACTCCTCCCTCCCCTCCAGCTCCTCCCCCAGCTCCTCGCGGTCCAACGTGCTTTCTCGCTCCTCCCTCCCCTTCAGCTCCTCTTAGTCCCGAGGGGCTTTCTCACTCTTCCCTCCCTGCCAGCTCCTCCCTCCCTGCCAGCTCCTCCCTCCCTGCCAGCTCCTCCCTCCCCGCCAGCCCCTCCCAGTACTGACGCACTTTCTCGCTCCTCCCTCTGCTGCGGCTCCCCCCTGCCCTGCAGCTCCTCCCTTCGCTGCAGCTCCTCCGGGTCCTGACGCATTTTCCCACTCCTCCTTCCTCTCCTGCGCCTCCGGTGTCGCCTCCCAGTCCTGACGCACTTTCTCGCTCCTCCTTCCGCTCCTGCTCTTTCCTCCCCTCCAGCTCCTCCTTCCGCTTTAACTCCTTCCCGCTCCTCCCTCCCTCCCTCCCTCCAGCTCCTCCTCCGGTCCGGTCGCCACTCTTTCCCGCCCGCGTCACCGTCACCGCCGCCACCGCGCGCCCCAGAGTCCAGCCATGCCCAACATCGTGCTCTTCAGCGGCTCCTCGCACCAGGACCTGTCCCAGCGCGTGGCCGACCGGCTGGGCTTGGAGCTGGGCAAGGTGGTCACCAAGAAGTTCAGCAACCAGGAGACCAGGTGAGCCAGGCC